GTTTAGAATTCGTTTTAAAATGATTTTATTTTTTGTATGAAAATAGAAATAAAAACGTTTTCAATCTCAGACAAAAAAATTATTTTTAAAAATACGTTTAGTAGTTTTATCAAGAGATTATTTTCATTATAAAAAACTCATTAATGTCTTTCTCTCTGCTTGAGAGAGGAGAAAACGAAAATAAAAAATGTCTAAAAATCGTTTTTCATTTCTCTCTCATTTCACACTAAATTAAAAAATCGTTTTCATTTCTGTTTTTTATCTTTAATTGTGTCAAACGCCGTTTAAGAATAGTTTTCATTTTTTCTTTCCCAAAAAATGTGAAAAATAAAAACAAGTACAATTTCAAACACGGCAAAAATTGCCCGAAATTTGTTGGACCATTTGAAGCTTGAATAGAAAGGAAACCTGGTCTTTCCTGCAAGCAATGCACTGTAGCATATCCATTATTGAGTTCAAAAAAAGCTGGAGTTTAGTATTGATATAGGACCTAAAGTTTCTCTTTCACTTTGGGTCAATAATTCACACAAAGAAGAAAAAGAAACTTGCGATCATTTACTCTTTTTTTCTTTTGGTTGCTAAAAGTGTCATTGCTCACTATATAATAGTATCATTTAGATTCTTCAGGATTAGAAATTGTACAAGTTTTAAGATCAGTCTTAAAATAAGAAATGAATAGCGGGTAAATTAGATTTCACTTGTTTGAGACTTTGAGTTCACATTGTTTCTTTTTATCAGCTGATATTCTTATAACAGTCAACAAGCCAGTAACTATAACATATTGACACGCCACACCAGTCGATTTCTCAATGATGGCTTTATTTCTTTAGAAGCAACATGTTTATTCTTTATTGTCAATTTGTCATTTAAAAAAAAAGAAAAATGTTTATTGTGGATTTCACATAAATATGATTAAACACATGCTTGACAAACAGCTAACTGGTTCGCGTGAAAGATAGCATCTTCTCTTTCATCCATCAGTGACCTTAACTTAGGTTAAACTAAAAGACAGAGTTACAAATACACGTTTAGGCCTTGTTCAATTTGTTAATTCGAGTTTTTAATTTGAGGTGAGATGTGATTTTATGTGAGAATTTTTAATTATAATAAAAAAAATTAGATATGACTTTTTGTGAGAACTTTTTAACCGTAACAAAATTGAAATTGAAAACTCAAATCGATAAAATGAACGAAACTATAATAAATGAAAATAGAAACTCAAAATTATTAGCAACATGGAAACATTTTGGCGTACCTAATTAATAAAAGCATAAAAGCCTGTAGGAAATAATTAAGTTAGAGAAAAACAATCAGCTCAACTTCTGTTTATTTCGCCGATTCGAATTTAAAATTCGAGTTTTGTTACAGTAAAAAGCTCTCAGAAACAGTCACATCTAACTTTTTTGTTACAGTAAAAAACTCTCACACAAAATCACATCTCAACTCGAATTACAAACTCGATTCAGCGAAGTGAACGAGTCATATTATTCTCCTGACTCGATAATCAATATCATACCATAGAAAAGGACTGAAAATTCTTCCAGAGAAGAGCCGATGCTAGTGCTGCAATCATCACAAAACACAACACACTGCTCAAAAAATGGTTGTCTTCACAAAAACTTGCAAATTCTAGAGAAAATTGAGAATTACCTCCTTGTCCTAGAATGTAGGGCAAATAAGATTTCCGTTGTCGCAATCCAAATCTATCGTCGCAAGCCAGAGCCGCCGTGATCTCGGCTGTCCCTCCCATGGCAATAGAACGATTAATGAAATGTAGGCAGAGAGGAATGAAAATAATCGAATTTTTAAAGTTAAAATAAAGAAGAAAGTGAGAAATTGAACGTTGCAAAAAGCAAAAGTGCTCAAAGAATCAAGGCTAAGATGGGCTTTTTGGGGATGGCATTGTTTTTCTTTTTAGTTTTTTTTTATTTTAATTTTAATTTTAATTTTTTTAAAACAAATTATGTGGTTTACTAAAATGTCATTTTATATTATGTCACATGCATTACACATGACCTATTCCGTTAAAAGATATGTGAGTTTTTTATTATAGTAAAAAAAATTAAATGTGACTGTTTCTGAGAGCTTTTTACTGTAACAAAACTCGAATCGGTAAAATGAACGGGGCCTTAGAACAACCACTCCAAATTCAAGAGAGTAGAAAGGCAGAATGGTCAAGAGTTTCAGGACGAAATAACAAGGATAATCTTTGGTACACCCGTTGCAAGAAGCCGAGCCACACTAGAGATAAATGCTAGAAGCTGAATGTCAAACCACCAAGCAGGGAGAGAAATCAACGAGGAGGTCACAGCCAAGGAACTCAGGCCAAGCCAATTTCACTATGAACCAGCCAAGTCAAGGCCATGCCAACTTCACCATGAACCAGCCGAGCCAAGAAGGGTATCAAAAACAGGGTGAACTCAATAAGGAGGAGGTTGAGAAGATTAGAGGGCTTCTCGGGTCTCTTGAAAAACCTAGCGGTGCTTGCTCTCTTGCACTCTCAGGTAAGTTCTCAATATCTCAAGGATTAAATGTCTTTAGATGACTTTATTTGAGACTTGTGGATTATCGATTCAGGAGCCACTGATCATATGACACTCTTCATTAAAATGTACCACTTATACATCTTGTTTAAATAACTGAAAAATAGCTGTTGCAGATGGTTCTCTTACCACCGTTGCTGGTCTAAGTGATATCTATATCAGCCCATCACTCACACTAAAAAATGTGCTTCATGTATCTAAATTATCCACTAGTTTGATATCCATACAAAAGCTCAGTCATGATATGAACTGTAATGTGTTCTTTTACCCTTCATATTGTGTATTTCAAGAATGAAAATAATCGAAGTTGAAATATAGAAGAAAGTGAGAAATTGAACGTTGCGAAAAGCAAAAGTGCTCAAAGAATCAAGGCTAAGATGGGCTGTTTTGGGATGTCATTGTTTTTCTTGTTAGTTTCTTTTTAATTTTAATTTTTTTAAAATAAATTATGTAGTTTACTAAAATCTCATTTTATATTATGTCACATGCATTGCAGATGACCTATTCCTTTAAAAGATTAATAGAAATAGATGGAAAGGTTTAAATTGCAAATGATTAAGGGTATGCTTGAAAGGTATACTCAAACTATAATTCTTAATTCTGACATTTTAAATTCAAATTTTTATGAGAACAAAACACAATAACAAAATTAATAATTTAAATTTGAGTATATAAAACAAACAGACTCTAAGTAATTTAGGAACCGTTTTGTCAAAGCTAAAAAAATAGCGACCAAAGTGTTACCTCCTCAAGAAATTGAAGACTATCTGTGGTAATTTCTCAAAGTTTAAAAGTGTGAAATGAAAGAGATAAAAGTGTGATGAAAATAAAATTCAAATAATTATGTGATTTATCCTACACATCTAAGTACATCTAAGTGAGAATAAGTTTTTCTGGGCATTTCTCACGCCCACTTTATTTTTTCTCTAATTACCCTATTAAATTAATGTCCCTACATAAATTTTTTATTTCACCCCCCCCCTTTTATTTTTTAATTTTATTTTTTTTTTCCTTCTTTTTCTCACTTATCTTTTCTTATTGTATCTTTTAAACTTTATTTTTTCTCTAATTACCCTATTAAATTAATGTCCTTACATAAACATTTTTTACTTATTGAGAATCATTTTTATTTCGTAGGCTCTCGTTTCGTTGCCCTTTCCTCTAACACTTTTTTATCTTTTTTTTTTCTTTAGTTTTTCTTTTTCGTTTCTTCTTTTTTCTCCTTTATATTTTCTTTTGTAGCTTTTAACCTTTGATTGTTACATATTTTTAAATATATCTAATTTAAATATTTCATACAATTATCTAAAATATTATTTTTTAATTACTCTGCTAAATTAATTTATTCTTAAACGCGTCTTTACATAAACATTTTTTATTTGTGCTCCTCATAAATTTGAACTTCAGTTGCAAAATATTTTACACACATTTTTTTTAAAGTTTTTTTTGTCATTTTTTCCTTATCTTTTACTTTAGATTTTTTTTTTCCTATTTTTATCTTTATTTCTTTTATTCTTTTTTTCTTAGTATAATCCTTATTTTAAATAAGTCACACGCGCTTTTTGATTGAGTTTATCCATATAAATGCAAACCAATTACAAATTAGTTTAAAGATTTTCAAACTAAACCAAACCAATTAACAAATCTAATCAAATTTAAACTAATCAGTTTGGTTTGGTTTTCTAATTAGTTTGAACTAATATTTTACAATCTCTTCTCAAATCCCCTTAATCGTAACTGGTACTAATATTTTGTATGATAGACATTTCTTATAATAGAAACTTCTAGCATTATGATAATTTAATATTGAAATATAGGCATTTTTTATATATGAATATGCTACAGATCTACAAAATATATATAATTTTAGAAAAATATATATAAATTGAATTGATTTGATTTTTTAAAGATTAAAACTATAAATCAAATTAATTTAATTGGTTTTTTTTTAAAATTTAAACCAAACCCCAGACGCAGAAACAAGAAAACAAATTTGGGTGTGTTTGTTTTCCTTTTCAAAACGTTTTTCAAGAAAGAAAAAATGAAATTGAAAACAAAACGGCATTTGTTTAAGAAATTTTTTTAAAACGAAAACGAAAACGAAAACAGTGAGAATAGTTTTTGTGAATGAATTTAAAAAACAGTTGAAAGTTGTTTTTACTTTTCTGTTTTCATTTTCTAATACTTATCAATAATATTATGATATATTATTTAATAATTATAATCAAACATGTATTCACTCTTTTATTATATTCAAAATAATCTTTTAAAAAATAAACTAAACACAATTTCAAAATCGTTTTCAAAATGATTATCAAAATAATCTCATTTTTCTTTTTAATGAAAACAAAATCATTTTAAAATTAATTTCTCAAAGAATGACAAAATGACAAGGTCGTTAGATAAATAATGGAAAATTCAGGGGCGGTTCTGCAAACACGAGCAACGGACAAAAATGGCAGACAGAACAGCAGAAGGGTTTTGGGTGGAAATGGCGCGTACTTTGTCCCATCAAAAAACCCTAAAAACGTGGGACACAATCACAAATCTTCCCTCATAATCCTAATTCCTACAATTCAATTTCATATTTAATTTGCGTCAAAGCAAATAAAAATGAAATTACTCACTACGCATCGTCTACCAATTGCTCAGCGTCTTCCACTTTTCTCCATACTTCAGGTCTCTCTCTGTCTCTCTCTCATGAATTTTTTTTTTTAATTCAAATTTGTGTAAAATATTCGTTTTCTTTCGAAGTTTCTGTTGTAGATATTTCTTATAGAACCTGTAACGGGGATTTGATGTATAGGGGAAAAAAAGACCTTGCTCATAAAGCATTATCTGGGAAATTTGAGGGTTTTTTTTTTTGTGTTTTATTTTTATTTTCTATCTGGGTCATGAAAATTTCTTTTTTTTCCTCATTTGGTTCAGTGTACACCATTTGGCAATTTTTGGGGGAAAATGAAAACCTTTGAAGGTAGATAAAGCTGATACCTTAAGGATTGTCTTTACAAAGACAATTTAAACTTTTCTCCTTGGAGCAGTACCTAAGTTTGGCTCTGCTTCCATTAGTGTCTTTTGTTCCCCCAATCTTCTGCTAATATTGTGGGATGATTGCATTACTTGCTTCTTAGCATGTGAAAATGTTGTGTACATTTCAATGTGATTGGTTACCTTGGATAGATATGTTTTATTTTTTTGAACATAAACCTAAGGCTCGTTTGGTAAATAGGTTCGATACGTGATGATAATATGTTTGACCATCCATATAGTTGACAAAAGTACTGGCTTGTTCTTTTTTTTTTTGTTTTTTTTTTGGGCTGCTGAAGCTTGGATAGGAGCCATATTATTGCATTAGAGTTGTGCTAGCAGCTGTATCACCTAAAAAAATATGTTGTTGTTTTCCGAGATATGTCTATGAGCACCTCAATATGTTTACTTTTAGTATGACTATGTCCTTAGCTTATTCTACTTTTCTGCAGAAAGGAAGAAAACATGCAACCACCTCTTTAGGCAACAACAGTCGTTACTTTTCTTCTTTAGGTAAATAGAAATTTGCGCTTCTCTTATCATCTCTATGGATGCTTATATTGACTGAAAAATATGTATAGTTTACCAGTTGTTCTACCTCCTTGAAGATGAAGTACTTGTTCTTTGTTTTAAGTAATGTTAAACATCTGCAGAACATTTTGAACCATCCAGACGTAGAAGTTTCATATACACAAATAGACAAGCCTGTACCAGTTTTTGTGGTTGTTTAATGTGCAATGGTGTATGTGATCTTGTTAAAGTATAAAATTATTGTTGGCCCATCTCCTAACAGCTTAAGCTTTTAGGATGGATTGGTAAATTAACATGGTATCAGAGCAGGAGGTCCTGAGGTCAAATCCTGTAATTGCACTCTTTATCCCCATTAAAATTGTCATCACGTGTTAGGTCTTTAATATATTTCAGGCTTGTTATCAAATACTCACGTGTTGGACTTTCTAAATAATTTACCCACACGATTGCCCGTTGTCCAGCCCACACGTGAGGGGGAGTGTTAAAGTATAAAACTATTATTGGCTCACCTCCTAATAGCTTAAGCTTTTGAGATGGATTGGTAAACTAACATATCTCCTATTATTTATGTACTTATATAGCTACAGATACAATTTGATCTTTTGTCCTTTTCATTTCTTCCCTTTTCTTTTCCCTGTTGAGATAGTGTTTATACTTGTACCTATATATGCATGTGGTTTACTAGTAGGTTTTGGGCCTCGGTACTGGTTGAACGCACCCATGCCAAACTACTTGATATGTTTTTTATCCACAAAATTCTTGTTACCGCTGGATTATATTTTTCATACATACTTTCAAATGTCGTGAGCTATATGGTGTTAAATTGTTATTTGACGAGTTTTCTTTTTTTGGTTTCCTCTAATTTGAGAAAATTTTCAGCAGAAGATTTAGAACACGATGCGGTCCATGATGATGCCAAAGCAACCGAGAAAGATGCTGCACTACATTTGGCTCTTTCACGGCTTTCTAATGAATTTGGTAGAGAATCTACATTGTCCTTACAACGTTTTTTTGGCGTTCGACATGTACCTGTAATACCTACAGGCTCATTGAAGCTTGATATAGCTCTTGGGATTGGTGGACTGCCAAAGGTAAGTTACTTTCTTGTCTTTTTACTACTATACTATTGTTATCTTGTTTGATTAAGTTTATAGCTATTATAATTGCTGCTGTTGTCGTTCTTCTATTGTGGCATAGATGAAAGAACATGCTAAAATGGGTTGTCTTTTGTTTTGTTTTTTTTTTTTCTGTTTTATATATTCGGACCAAGCATTGATAAAATAATCTGCATATAAAGAATCCTAGTAATATCTGTATGAGATAATATTAAATAGGTGATGAAGAAACCTAGAAATTAATGTGATTGCGTTTTCCAACTGTGTTTTTTGGAGAATTGGACTTGGGATTTATATTTCACTTTTTTTCCTTTTCAATTTGTAAAGTTAGATAATTTAATTTCATTTTTCTTCTTATATGCATGGTTTATTAGCCCCCTTAGTCCTGTTATCCATTATTAACTACTAGAATAGAGGTCATAGAGCTTTATTTATTTTTATTTTTATTTTTTTGCTTTATAAATCTTTAACCCTTTCACCCTTTCCACAAAATCTTGTACCTTACTCATTTATGAAGCCAAGCAATCTACTAGGGCAGTAGTCCTATACACTTATGTGAGTAGCGGCAGGGAGTGAAGTGAGTTATTGTATGAAGTGCTGCATGTGTTGAGGCAGAGAGTTGTCTTGTAACTGTTAGTTGTGACTATAATAGTTTGAAAATGCTGTTAGTAGCTGTTGGAGTTTTCTAGAAAGAATCTATAATATAAATAAGAGGATTAGTAGCTAATGAGGATTGTCAGAGCAATCAGGGAATTAGTTACTTGGGAAAACCAAGTGGGAGGCATAGCATTTCCTCGAACAACTATTGGGATTCATTCTTATATATATTTGCTAGGATTTTCCTGGAAAGTTCATCAATAAATCTTCAGTTTTCTTTGTTATTCTGTGTTTTTGTTATCGGGTTCTATCCAATGACATACTGAATCAATCAGTTCTTAAAAATCATGAATTATTTCATGAGACCTGGGTTTGAGATGAATCCTTTTCTGTCCTTTTCCATTGAAGATAGGGGAGGGGATGAGGGTGAGATTTTGGGAGGATGTGTGGGTTGGAGATAATCCTTTTCTGTCCTATTTCCTTACTTGTTTAGATTGTCTTCAAAACACAATACGCCAATTTTAGCCTTTTATACCTTTGACAATGGTTAAGTAGCATCTTGGAACTTTCATTTTAGAAGGAATCCTAGTGAGAGGGAGTTGGGAGAAGTGTTGGAGTTACTGTCATATGCTTTGAGAGGGCAAGGGTGTGTGCTGGGTGTGTGGATAGATGGGTTTGGGATTTGAATTTTTAACCTAAATGACCAAACCTAAACCCTAAAATGTAAACCCCAACGAGACCCTAAACAAACAGTAACCCTTAGGGTTTAACCCCTAAAGCTACAGTACACTTCGAAACCCCAAAGTAGCAGTAAACCCCAAATGAACAGCAACACTTGAAACCCCAAATGAAGGCTAGCACTTATACGATGACTTTGAATAGACACTCAGACAACACTGTGGAATGAACACATAGTAGAGCACACGAGGAAGGCTCTTATTATAGGCAGGAAGATGGAAGAATTGTTATTCAAGGTACAATGAAGGCTAGGATACCACGAAGACTAGAGCACACAAGGAAGGCTACAAGGAATTCAAGTATGCCTTCTCCACACTATGGGTTCCCTTATTTATAGGGAGGGAACCGTGCCATAAATATCACATGTAATAATTACATAGTAGACTGCTAAAGGGTAATTTTTATGTTACTAGTCTAAACATCATAATTAGATTCTTATTTATTCTAAAGCTATCATGATGGGGGATCTTACACTTAATCAAAAAGGTGCCATGATTATGTCTCCCTTGATTTGGCCTACGTGGAAGATAAGGTCAGGATAAGGTGGATACTATTTCATTCTAGGTGGAGATTACAGAGGACCCACCCTAAACCCTAAACTCTATTCTACCATGCTTCTGGCTAGTTTGTGTCATCAAAAGACCAGTCAAGGCTTGCGCTATCTTCCGAGTCATATACGACATAGTGGAACAGTCCTACGGTTTCATAAGCAATATTGAGTGTCTAAGGCAGCTGCATTCTTGCATTGTAGTCCAGAAACATCCGCTCAGCTGTAGGAGAGTTTGGTGTTATCCTTTCTGGATTTACTTCTATGGGCAGTCTACCTAGTACATTCTGCTTAGTGTTGTCATGACTGTCATGTAGTTCCGAAAGCCTTCAAGTATCCTGCCTGCTGGCATACTTGAATTCCTTGTAGCCTTCCTTGTGTGCTCTAGTTTTCTTGGTATTCTAGCCTTCATTGTATTCTTGTGTGTTATAACAATGAGACCCTTGTGTTCATTGTATAACAATTCTTCCATCTTCCTTCTTATATCAATCTATGTGTTCATTCCGTAATGTTCTCTGAGTGTCTATTCAAAGGGGTTGGGCTTGTTCTCTTGTAAATTTTTTTTTCAATTCATTAATTGACAATCACTCCTATCCTATTGTTCCTCTACGCCATTATTTCGGTTTCGACAGAAATTCAGGTTTTTGGCTGGCTAAGCTGAATACTCACGATTTGTTGTAAATAAAGAGGCGTTACCTTTATATTTCCCCACGTTGTTCTTTGCAGGAATGATAATGAAATGTCGAACCATATATTCCTTCTTTTTTTGATAAGAAACTGTAATTTTATTACTCACAAAAGATGGATGAGAAATCCATCAGAGAAAGTACAATAAAGTAATCTAAATAAATAAATACAAAACAAAGTAACACTCGAAACATTTAAACCAAAACATCCTCCCAACTTAACATTATCAGGGAAAGTAAAAAATCTTTACAAGCCTGGTCAGTAGATGCCCAAAGAGACACCAAAAATCTAGCTTTCTCAAAAAGGTGTTCACAACTCATCTCCTCTTCCTCAAGATCCGCTGATTACGTTCTAACCACAATACCCAGAGCTATTTTAGCAGCCTTCCACAGTTGAACCATCTATTCCTTCGCTGTCCATTTTCATCAAAGATGTGTACAAGATTGTAGGGACGTTTCAGTTCTCGTGGGCTATTCCTAACTGTGTTTCAGAATTATTGGATGCAGATATTCTTATTGGTTGGAGTAAGAGATGTACACGGTTTTGAAGTATCATAGCTCTTGCTACATTCTGGTTATTGTGGCTGGAACGAAACAATTGCATTTGTGAAGGAGTGGAAAGTCACGTTACTAGTGTTTGGTATCATTTGAATTATTGGGTAGCATTGTGGACATCTCAAGATAAAGAATTTTCGGACTTTTCATTCTCGGATTTGTTGAGGGGTTGGGATCTCATTTTGATGTATTATGATTTTGTTTGTTGAGTTTTTGTCTTTGTTTTTTGAGGAGTTCTTGTACTCTGCTGTGCCTTATTTGTATTATGAATGAAGGTCTTTCTTATTAAAAAAAAAAAATCATAACACATGGGATTGTTTTGAAGGGCTGGCAATTCGGACAGCGATACGACGACACGACTCGAAATCCGCACAAAGTTAGCGGGTTTGGGTTTACTATAAATGAGTTTGGGTCATAATTGGATTGACACGATTAATAAATGAGTTGGGTTATGGTTGACCTCCTAACACAAAGTGACACGAATTTGGCACGATTAACTATGTGTGATTTGCAATCTAATGATATGTGATATAATATGAAAGTTTATATGACATATTAAATACAAATAATGTGAATTTTAATATTTGTAGGTAAAATTTGGGTTATACGGGTTGACACGATTAACACGATTAATAAATGAGTCGTGTTTGGGTTGACATTTTTGACACGTTTAATAAACAGGTCGTGTTTGGTTGATGTTTTTTGACACGATTAATAAACGGGTTGACACGAACACGACCCACTAACACGAATTGCCACGCTTAAATTTGTTTGTATCAAGAATCTTTAGCTCTATACTTGTTTTCTTCATTTATATATAGGTGTGTTTAATTCAATTGGTTAGTTTTGGCTGCAGTTGTTCATAATTGGTGATATGCTTATTTATCCTTTGTAGGGGAGATTTGTTGAAATTTATGGTCAAGAAGCATCTGGCAAGTCAACACTTGCACTTCACATTATCAAGGAAGCCCAAAAGCTTGGAGGTGCGTGCTTAATGCTTTTGTCTCAGATCATAGGACTGACACTTCGTTAATTTTAATATATTGTGTTCTTACTCTACTTGTATTGCATTACACCATATATCCCCGCTAAGTGCTGCCTAAATTGTCTGTTGTCATTGAAATATTTATACCAATTAATTTAGTTTCCCTATATATAGAATTGTTAGGCCAGCTAAAGATTTTTTTTTTTTTTTTTTTGGCGCAGGATTTTGTGCTTATTTTGATGTGGAGAACGCAATGGACCCTTCTCTTGTAGAATCAATGGGTGTAGACACAGAAAATCTTCTAATTTCACGTCCGGATTCCGCTGAAAACCTGCTTAGTGCAGTTGATACTCTTACTAAATGTGGATCTATAGATGTCATTGTGGTTGATAGTGTAAGTGACTGGCTCTAATTGTCTGTTCGTTTTTGCACTTGAAACATTCACTTAGATATGAAATGTACATTGTCCATGATAAAAAGCAAATTTGCTGGGCAGTTGCCATTTATTTCGCTTACTAATTGATGAAATATAGGCAAAACGCAAAACAGTAATAAAAAGAAAATTCAGTAGCCATTGCCATGTATTTCCCTTGTTCTATTGATGTTGCTTGGTTTTTTTTTTTTTTTTTTTTGTTTGCTCTAGCAGATATATATTATTGAATTGGGATGTCTTGAACTCTTTTTTTCCTATCCTGGGTGCTAAATGATTCGTTTTAACTTTGTGCAAGTTCATCTTTTCAGGTAGCCGCCCTACTCCCGCAGTGTGAAATTGATGTTCCAGTTGGTGGCATATTGCGAGATGCACAATCACGAATAATGTCCCAAGCCCTTTGTAAAATACACTATTCACTACGCAATTCTCAAACGCTTATAGTTTTAGTTAATCAGGTTAATGCCTAGCTAATATACACTTCAAATTGTTTTCTTATCATGTTTCCAAAGACGAGAAATGGTGTTTACCATAACTAAATTCCAGGTTAGGTCAAGTTCAAAATCGAGGCAAGGTAATAAAGATATGGGTGAAGACACTTGTGGTGGAAATGCCTTGAAATTCTACTCCGCGGTTCGGTTGAAACTTGGAAAAAGGGAACTGCTTAAGAATGAGAATGAGGTAAGAACTCATATGTTTGAGGGTATCTTGAGATATTCTTTTCTCATAATCAAACATGCTTTTCTTTTCTATTTATTTTATAGCTTCCCTGTTTTAGTTATGGACTTTTCTTTTATTCTCAACACCCCCCTCCCCCTGTTGTTTTAGGTTACCGGTCTAGGGATTAGTGTTCAGGTTGTGAAAAATAAACTGGCACCGGCAATGAAAAAGGCCGAACTGGGATTACGCTTTGGTAGAGGCTTTTGCTGCGAATCCGAGGTATTGGAGTTGGCATGTGAACAGGGGATCATTGTGAAAGAAGGAAACGGATACCTCGTTGAGGGGAAATTTTTCGGCAACCGACATGAAGCAGAGCTTCATCTAGCTGAAAATGAAGTGGTTTTTGATAAGATGGTTAGTATCTTAAGAAGACTGTTGTTTGAAACCGAAGAGAGTATAGTAGTTCATGAATAAGCGAGCTTTACTCGATAGCATCATCTTGCTGTGGTAGGACATGGTAACCTGCAATTACATGCCATTAATTGAGGATAGAGAATTTGACAAGATATTTGAAGTTCATTCATTGTTGAAGACCTTCACGTTATGGCATTGCAACATGGGTTTGTTTTTTTTTTTTTTAGTTAATGAAGAGCTTATTAATCTCATTGCACAACAGAAGAATTTATTTCTCTTAGGGGGCGTTTGGTATGCGGGAATCAATAGGAATCATATTCCCAGAAAAGTGATGGAGGGTAATATGATTCTTAGGAATAATACATTACTGTGTTTGGTTTCATACAGAATTTTTTTCAAATTCTCAGGAATATTACATTATTGTGTTTGGTTGTTCGCATGGAAAAAGATACATAATAATAATAATAATAATAATAATAATAATAATATTAATAAATATAATAATAATAATAATTATTATTATAATAAGATTCTCATGATTTTGAGATTTCTGAAAATTTGAATAACATCATGTTGGGTGGTATTCAAATTATCTTAAAATGAGGGAAAGTGAATCTCATAGTAATTACTTTCTTGAAAATCTAAATATTATAATTCTTGTACTAAACATAGTAATATTGCAGATTTTCATTTCTATCCTTAAGATTACTGCATATTAAACGTCTTTAGTTTTTTCTGAGTTTTAACAGAGGACTGTGATAAACGAGGTCATGTTGTTTGAAGTCCAAACTATCTCGATTCAAAAAAAAATAAAAAGGGCAAAAGAAATATATCTCAGGCGATTCAAGGCAATGACAACATTTCTCAAGGAAAAAAAAAATAAAGAAGGAAAAAAAAGAAAAAAAGAAAGGCAAAGTCCATTAAGATACAAAAAATTTATCATGCATCCATAACCATCAAACTTCATAATGTCTAATTTAAACTTCGTCTCTAATACAAGTTCTAAAGTTTTTTTTTTGTTTTTTTGTTTTTTTTAAGAAGTCACGTTTTATGATTTTGACAAACACTTCTAATAAATAATTCAAACACATTTGGAAACAGTTTTAGATCCAAAAAACCAACACAGATTCTAAAAAACTCTGTTGAACTAGCATAGGAAGATATATAGAGACGAAAAGGAAAGCGGCACTCACCAAAAGTCTTGCCATGAGTTGGAAACAAGAAAATAAATATTAATTAATTTAACACAAGTCAATGGGAGCCATTGACGAAGTTGGATTTTTTCTTTTTTTTTTTTTTTTTTTTTTTTTTTGGGGGGGGGGGGGGGGGGGAAAAGGGGACAGAAATTAGTAATTATAAATTCTTCTACTGTCCTTTATGTGTTTGATCATGTTTTAAAATGTTACATAATAACTTTACTATTGAGACGATTAAAGATATCTTTTTTAATGTATAAACGGTAAATTATCATTTATTCATTGATCTGCTCTTAGATTGTATAGTCGATTCTTCATAATAATCATACTAAAAATTACTCTACCACGATAATAATTGATATTATACTCAGGATGATATATTTTCTTATCTAAAAATCTTATGATGTATAATTTTTAACATTCTTTCCAAGAAATTATTGCATACACATTCTTCTTTAAAAGGATATATTTACACTAGTGAAAAAAATTCCAAGAAATAAGAAAATAAGAGAAAATAAATAAATAAGTTACAATCCAAATCATTATTAAGGGAGAAGATCTTGTAAAGTCCTTAGAGATATTAGTCAGAGTTTGGTTTAAAGTGAGGGTTTTTCATTTGTTTTTGAAATGAAATAAAATTTTTAATATTTAGGGGGACTATTTCTAAATTTAGTAGAAATGTATAGGAACTGTCTCCGGTGGGCCATTCTACCGCTAGGCCGTTCTTTCGGTATGACCAGTTTTCTGACCGGATTTGGTCAAAATCAGATGAGATTAAAAAAATATGTAGAATATATAGTTTTTTACAGATCTGACGGCTGAAAACAGTTGAAAAAAATAGTTATTACCGTATATTTTTGCCGTCGTCATGGAACAAAGTCAAGCAGCCCCACTCAAAACAATCACTAACTAAAGCGCCAATATACATACACATGCACATGTATACATGAGCTATCATGTGTTGTTTAGAAGGACATAAACCAAAAGGTGAAAATTATCAAAAAAAAAAAAAAAAAAATCCCCCAAAATATCAACTCCCATTACAATAAACTAGTTGGAAGCATGTGTTATAACACATAGATATTTAATCTATATATTTTTTTACGTGATATGTATTTTCTAAAAAACTCGGTTCCTTTTTTAAAAAAAATTATTATACTCTTAAAGTTTAGTTTTGTCCAAAAATATTCAAAAAAAAAAAAGATTGACATGCATGTTTCAATTAATTCGTGCTTTTAGTTGAAGATTATATATGTATAGAAAAGTAGAATATGACTAATAAAGATTTTAAAAGAAAAGTTACAAAAGTATTTAGACGATACATGTAGAAAAGCAGTAGCTGAGAATGTTGCAAGAAAAATATGTTTAAATAGAGATACATTTGGAAAAAAAAAAAAAAAAAAAAGGGACTTCAACAAGTGCAAATTAGAGCAAAGGTATTTATGAGAAAATAGTATTGGGATGATCACTTTGATATAAGAAAGATTACATGGAAAAAATATTTCAATCAAGCATATTTAAAAATATAGGATTTAGTAGGAAAAATCAAAACAAAATGAGAAAAAACGTTAATAAAATTAGAAAAAACGCAAAATCAAAACAGAATAGGATTTGGAACTTTTGTTCATGGAGGGGCATATATGACAGTTTATCAGAACTTTCCACATGAAATTAAACCAGACAAAGGAAAAGAATAAATATTTGGTCAACCACTAGCCAGCCAGCCTAGAACAGAACCATTAAAATAAATACGGAATCAAAGCATCGTTAAGTGGAAGCAATGGACTGGTAATAATTTCCACAAGGATATGGACTTCTGGTATTTCAAGTCCATAGTCTTGGCCACTAGCTTATAACACTCTTTTTAAGTTTTTGGTGAAAAATGGAAGCTCGCAGCCTTTCTTGATTTCATTGATATTTATACACGAGTGGTACATTCTAATATGCAAGATTTTAGTAATTGATATAATAACAAATCAATCAGATAAATTAAATAAATGCTGACATACCTAATTTCATTTTATGATGGAACTTTCCTTTTGTTTTTGGAAGACCCAATGTCAAAAGGATTGCTCTGAGCGTTGATGATTGCATTGCTGACCCACTTTCTTTATGCTCTAACACACACACACACACAAAAGAAAGAAAGAAAGAAAGAAAGAAAGAAATAAGAAACTGAAACGGTTTTAATTATACTAGTTTTGTAACGTGCTCCCCACGTATTATCGTGACGAAGACATGTGAAGAGTTTATTATTTACTAAATAATGAGAAATTTATTTATACAACCATTTAAAAATGAATAGGTGTAAAGATAACAGTTGAAAAAAAATTAAGGAAACATTTGTAGAAAATTATTTTAACTAACTAAAATTAAAACAGGAACACATGTGAAAAAAATTACTCTCATAGGAGTAAAATGAGAAACGATATATTTTAAAAAAAACACACAAAAATTAAAATGTAAAAAAAAATAAAAAAAAATGAAGATAAAGAAATTAAAAAGAAAAAAAAAAGATAACTGGAGGGGTTTACCATGTGACAGCCTCATAGAAAAGAGCTTTTGTTCTTTTATGTGTTGTTAAAAAATATTTTACTGGGACATTCTCCGGTACAACAACAAATCAGCAGGCTAAGTTTATTGTCCGTTAGATCTGCATAAAATAACGTAAAAGTTAAAAAATATACAGATTTAATAATTAAAAAAACCTAACCTACCGATACGCTAACGTACTAGAGAATCTCTCTCTTTCACTCCATGATATTTACTCTTTTGTATTTCATTCCATTTTTTTTCTTTTCCAGTGAATATGTAAAGGTAGAGAGCTACACGATGATATAGACACCTACACACAAAAGGATAGACGTGAATATGGAATGCTTGTATTCATCCTCTCTTATTTAAAATAAATATCTATATATATTGAAATGAGCGTGTGTGTTATCCTGGGGATATGAAATGGTTTATATATGGAATGACTCAAGATTTAATATGTTAATTTTTTTGGGTTGAATTAGACTCTAGAAGTGCGTTAGACCAATTTCACATGTGGTGTCTTTTCAACAAAGTGGTATTAGAGTCGATGTTTTGTATGACCCAAGCGATTACGCTTGGTTGCAACTCCCACGTTGCCTCCGTGCAGATGTTACTCACAATTGGTGCCGTAAACTTTAGTTTAAGGGGGAGCTCGATGAACACACATATGAAAGGGTGATTGTTAATAAAAGTGTATGTGTGTGTTGTCCCATATGAAAAATGAATGAGGATGTTAAATGATTTATATACTTAAAAGGACCCAAAATGCAATAGATTAACTTTTTGGGCTAAATTAAATTCATATTTGGGTCAGTTTTACATGTGGTGTCTCCCTTTACATATAATCAAAGAGTTAAGTAGATATAGAAAATTACATTTGTATTTCATCGTAAATATATTTTCTTGATACCAAAAATACGAGAAAATGTGAGAAAATGTGTTTATGTGAGATAATTTTACAAACATGATTTATTTACTATTGATTAACATCATCAGTTATACAATACTGATCCGGAAACATTTATATCTCTTATTTAAAGTTCTATAACATTGAGCTCTTAGTCATCACGACTCAAAGCCAGACCATAATTATATCCAAGCTAATGAAGTAAGCTCTTGGTGCTTGTCGATTTTTTTGGTTGGAAATTTGAATGACTTACTAAATTTCTATAGAGTGCGCTGTTGAATTACGATTGTGGATGCTTATAGTGGTCTCCTAAATTTTCCACAACTTGCTATTTCTTATCTCTATAAAAGGGCTACTAAGAGAGGCAGAATTTCCAAAGCCAAATTTTCAATACATAATCTGATCTAAGATAGCCCTCCCTCACAATTATGGCAAATTCCTATTCAGCTAGTAAAAGTGTTCCCATGATTTCCATAATGCTGCTACTAGTGGTGCTAATTTCAAGCTTAAAGAAAGCAGGTCTCTCTCTCTCTCTCTCTCTCTCTCTCTCTCTCTCTCTCTCTCTCTCTCTCTCTCTCTCTCTCTCTCTCTCTCTCTCTCTCTCTCTCTCTCTCTCTCTCTCTCTCTCTCTCTCTCTCTCTCTCTCTCTCTCTCTCTCTCTCTCTCTCTCTCTCTCTCTCTCTCTCTCTCTCTCTCTCTCTCTCTCTCTCTCTCTCTCTCTCTCTCTCTCTCTCTCTCTCTCTCTCTCTCTCTCTCTCTCTCTCTCTCTCTCTCTCTCTCTCTCTCTCTCTCTCTCTCTCTCTCTCTCTCTCTCTCTCTCTCTCTCTCTCTCTCTCTCTCTCTCTCTCTCTCTCTCTCTCTCTCTCTCTCTCTCTCTCTCTCTCTCTCTCTCTCTCTCTCTCTCTCTCTCTCTCTCTCTCTCTCTCACGCGCATTTATCTTTCAAGCATTTTTGTTTATATAATGTGTTTTTGTGCCAAATATAGTACGTAACTAATATAAATATTGTTTATCACTGTTAATGCGTCAATCTCATTCACTATATGATTTATGTGTTCACTAAATTAAAATACAACTACTTTGGATAATATCTTCTCGGTATATCATCAAGTTTTTATAACTTGTATCATGCAAGGCTTGTACTTATTAATCACTATTTCTTTTAATAAACTGCAAGAGGCTAATTGTTTTTATTTATTTATTATTTTTTATAATAAATTGAGGAGAATAGATCCTAGGTTCCCTATTAAAATCTATCCTCTATCAAATCCATCACTCCAATATTATTAATAAGAAATTAACCAATATATCCAATTAGATTGGCACCACTCATTAATCATTAATCACTTATATATGTACATATATATATATATATATATATATATATATATATATATATAAACAATGGTATTTGAGTCATATACTCCAATATTCCTTGGCACAATTTTTTACTTGTGCGTTTGGATTATGCGGTGGTTAGAATATTTTCGTTTGAACTATTTGAAAGTTTGGTGGGAAACATCAAACCACATGAATTCATAAGGAGGGCCGGCCAAGTCCAGATTTTTCTTATTTAACTAGTTTAAAAACATCGCATTATGATTCAAACTGGGCAAAGCTTATACATCTAAATACTGGTTCAAACTGGAGGGCTCATAGACAGAAACATACAGTACTTCCTCAAGAAAAATTCTCTATTCCATTACTAGTTTCATGTTCTGCAGTCCAATTATCTAATTCTCCTTCCCATATTATTGTTAATACATGTATCTGATCATCAAAACATATCAAACATTGCATCAAACTGGACAAAGCTTATACATCTAAATACTGGCTCAAAACTGGAGGGCTCATAGACAGAAACATACAGTACTTCCTCAAGAAAAATTCTCTATTCCATTACTAGTTTCATGTTCTGCAGTCCAATTATCTAATTCTCCTTCCCATATTATTGTTAATACATGTATCTGATCATCAAAACATATCAAACATTGCAGATGCACAAATTGGAGTATGTTACGGAATGTCGGGAAACAACTTGCCACCACCCCAAGAAGTCATATCACTCTACAACCAAAACAACATCCGCCGAATGCGCCTCTACGCCCCACACCGACCCACTCTCCAAGCCCTCCGCGGCGCCAACATCGACCTCATCCTCGGCCTCCCCAACGACGACCTCCAAAGGATCGCCTCAAGCCAAGCCGAAGCCAACTCTTGGGTCCAAAACAACGTCAGAAACTACAACAACGTCAGGTTCAGATACATCGCCGTTGGAAACGAGATCAAAACCTCCGACTACGCCGCTCAGTTCCTCGTCCCCGCCATGGAAAAGATCCAAAACGCGGTCTCTGAGGCAGGTCTGGCCAACCAAATCAAGGTCTCCACGGCACTCGACACCGGCGTCCTCGGCGAATCCTACCCTCCGTCAAGAGGCGCGTTTAGGTCGGACTACTCACCGATCATTAACCCTTTAGTACGCTTCTTGGTTAACAACAGATCACCATTGCTCGTCAACTTGTATCCTTACTTTAGCTACATTGGCAACACGAGAGATATTCGTCTTGAGTATGCACTTTTCACGACGCAAGCGGTTGTGGTGCAAGACGGGCAATTCGGGTATCGGAATCTTTTCGATGCCATCTTGGATGCTGTTTATTCTGCCTTGGAGAAGGCCGGTGGAGGGTCGCTGGAGGTCGTCGTGTCGGAGACCGGTTGGCCGTCCGCGGGCGGGACGGCAACGTCGTTTGATAACGCGAGGACTTATGTTAGGAACTTGATTCCGCATGTGAAGGGTGGGACTCCGAAGAGGCCAGGAAGGGCTATTGAGACTTATGTGTTTGCCACGTTTGATGAGAATCAGAAAAGTCCGGAATATGAGAAGCATTGGGGGCTTTTCTTCCCAAACAAACAGTCTAAATATGGAATCAGTTTTAGTTAAGTGATAAGTGCGCGCGTTTATGTAATAAATAAATAAAAGCCGGCCGAGCAGAGGCTGACGAATTAAATAAGTTAAAGTGCACCTTGTCATAAGTACGTCTCCTTTTACCAAACAAACAATCTAAAATGTGTTGCACGAAGTGATTTCCCTCCACCCATATGGGATTTCTACCCTTGCATGTACGCATGCTTTGTTGTTACTATTTATAGTGAGCTAGTAGTGTTTATAATTTTTTTTTTAAAATTTTTTACTTCAGTTTTATATCAGTTTATTTACATGACAATGAATTATTAGCAATTCCTAAAAATTGCAAAAATAAAAGCGGAAGTCCAAGACCATACCTCCGGCCATAGCATGCAATAAGATTCACAATCTCCACGAACAAATTAAAAGCTCTCATTCCTCCGGAAGTCCAAGACCATGCCTCCGGCCTCGTTCATTTTACCGATTTGAGTTTTCAGTTTTAAGTTTCTACAGTTAAAAGCTCTCAGAAAATGTCATATTTAACTTTTTTTGCTACAATTAAAAGCTCTCAAAAAATATCATATCTCAGCTCGAATTGAAAACTCGAATCCGCGAAACGAACGAGGTCAGAACACAAGAAATTAGGGATTTGTTGGTAATCTCTCCAATCGCGAAGTGAACGAGGTCAGAACACAAGAAATTAGGGATTTGTTGGTAATCTCTCCAAGGTCTTATGCCCACGAGTGATGGAAACTCACAGACTTTTCTTGAAGACTAGAGACCCTATCCCTCTGAAATTTTTAACGTAATATTTTCTCTGATGTCTTCTTCCCATCAAAAAAGACAAATATATGATGGGTAGTTATTCACCAAAGGGTCTGACCCTTCACTTTTAGGGAAATATCTCTGAACATGGTTTTTTTTTTTTTTTTTTTTTAAAACTTAAAATTTAGAGAAAATTGTGCAATTTACCTCCAGACCACCTAGATCATAATTTCTACCCTTCTAATAAAGTCTACCCATTTGATTCTTATTTTGATAATTTAATCGTATTTTAAAAGACAAAAATATCCCTAATTATATCTAAACCCTAATCCGTCTTGCTATCTCATTCTCTCTTCTTCTCTCTCCTTCTCTCTAATACTGCTCTCTCTCTCCATCCGCCCCTCCTGCTTCTCTCTCTCTCCTCCATGTAATCTAATCTCCTTTCTCTCTCTTGTCGCCTCCTTTCTCCGCCGTAGCCAAGGCTCCTCCGCTCCTGTCTCTCTTCTCCACCCCTCTCTCTCCTCTTTGCTCATATCTCTCTCCTCTGTCTTTCTCCGTCTGCCGTAGCTCTCCCCTACGCTGCACCTTTTCTCTCTTCCATGCTGATATGGCTGTCACGATTTGAAATTCGCCGAAGTCGCACTTGTGATTTGTTGTCACGATCTGAAGTTATGGTCGCTGAGGGAGGTGTTGCGACATTGGAAACTCAGATCTTCTCCTCCGATCTCCTCTGACCTTGCAGATGGCGGCCTCACGGTGCCCCTTTTGTTGCTCCGTTACCAAGCGCCGCCACCAGCGTCTTAGCTTCGATCATCTCTCCAAATCACATGAGCTTCTTCCCTCTCTTTCTCCATATCAACCGATTTCGACGATGTTTTCGGCCTCCGATCGTCTTCGACGCGGCCTCCATTCTAACTAGGTTGGTTTTACTATTATTATTATTATTATTATTATTATTTCTTTTTTATTCTGATTTTAGTATTTTTTCTTTTTCTCTGTGTATAGTTTCTTAGATATAATTTGATTTAGCTTTTTAGTCAAATCTGTTTTTGCCAGTGTAGTGCTCATAATGAAAATTCGAGTAATTTGTTATTACATCTTATATGTGCTCCACAAAATGTAATATAATATGTTGTAACAATGTAGGGGGTGGAAAAGGACATGAGCGTGTACACGCCAGATTTGTGGGGGAATTGAAGTATTTATATTATCTTACAATTAATCTGTTCTATTTGTGGGGATGTTTTTGCTTCGCCTACAGTTGATTCAATTTTAGCTATACGGCCTCTTCCAATTCTTTTCATGAAACTAGAGACGATTCACCTATCAGTTATATAAAAATCAGAGGACAATCTAATGTTGTTGAAGCTTATCAAAGCTGTCATTGGCCCAAAGGGGCCTCTTTTGATTGTCAAGTTAATTCTCTTTAATTAGATTTTACTTAACTTATATTACAATTTTGCTTTGTTGTTAGGCTGTGAACGACATCATTAATCTGTAAACGCATTCCTTACCTTGCAATACAAAATGGAAAGAAGAGAACATGAAAACTCCTTTTTAGAAGTAAAGGGGACAAACTGTAGATTTGCTTGAGCATAGAATGTCTCTTTGGCTTAGGAAATATTGTATAGTGATAAGTGTGCTATAGTCAACTTAAAAATATTTGAATAACATGATTAAAGGGTCTATCATGCCATCTCCTTTTCAGTTCGGAAAATATTGAAATCTTTTGGAGGCGTTTGGTATGCAGTAATCTTAAGGATGAGAATGAGAATCTGTAATATTACCATGTTTAGTACAAGAATTATAATTTTTAGATTCTCAGGAAAGTGATTACCATGAGATTCACTTTCCCTCATTTTAAAGTAATTTAAATATCACCCAACATAGTGTTATTCAAATTTCCAAGAATCTCAAAATCATGGGATTATTATTATTATTATTATTATTATTATTATTATTATTATTATTAATAATAATAATAATAATAATAATATTATTATTATTATTATTATTAATATTATTTTATTATTATTATTGTTATTATTATTATTTTATTACCAAACGCCCCCTTTATGTTTCATGTTATTATCTCTATCAAAAACACGATATTTTCGTAATTTTTTTGTTATTGTTTTGTTACAGGGCACACTGTAAATCAAAACTCTCGAAACTGATAGGAAAATAACATATTGTTGAGAATGAAACGGATTTTGATTTGGGTTTGGCCAATGAAGCTCTTTATAGAAGTAATCAAGTAAGGAGTTTTAGTTTTTTTAACCAACTTTGGCTTTTGAGATGAAAACCCAAATGATGAAAATATTGAGAGTTTGATGAAAATATCAAGTAAAGACTTTTGCATGGTTTGCAAGTTATAAGGAAGTTAATGGTGGTTATATGAATATTCATACCTACTATGACTGATTTAGTATATTAGCTTTTAATTCACTAGATGAAATCGATGGATTCTTAGAAAATTTTAAAATTCTTGAATGTTTCTTGTGCGTTTTAATTTTTCAATTTGATTATTGTTGCTATAAATCTAGTGATACTTATTGAAAAAACAACATAATGTAGCAGATTATGCTTTATAATTTGGCAGATTATGAAGCATAATCTATCAAGTTATGAACATAATCTGATAGGTTAAGGATTATAAACTGGAAGGTTATGGATATCTCATAAATTGACAGATTATAAAGCATAAGTTGTCAGGTTATGAAGCATAAACTGGTAGTCTATGGATCATAACCTGTCAGACTATGACCGACACCGATGATTGGAGGTCGGCGACCAGCGTAATCTATCAGGTTATGGATCATAACTTGATAGACTATGGCTGGCACTGACAATCGGCGACCGGCGTAATCTATCAGGTTATGGATCATAACCCGATGGATTATGGACAACGGCCAGTGTAATCTGTTAGGTTATGGATCATAACCTATCAGGTTATAGTCGGCAGCCGACCAGTGTAATCTGTTAAGTTATAGATCATAACCTATCAGCTTATGGTCGGCGGCTGGCCGGAGACCTGCCGACTGCCGGCCAGTGATGAGAGACCGACGACATATCTTATATTTACCAATGGACAATTGAAGGTAACTTTGAAATTTTAAAAATATTTAATTTAAGTATTTTCATTATTTTAATTGTAAAAAGATAGAAATTAATGAACTAATCTTTGGGGGTTAAAAAAAATTTGGGGTACTAGTTTGGGAGGTATTTCCCATTTTTTCTCCAAAATTTAAAATCTAATGGGCCACATAATTGAAAAGATTTATTTAAGGGAGAAAGAGAGAAATAAACTAAGACTTGAGATGAATTAAAACTAATAGGTCAATAGTTTACATAAGTTAATAAACAGGTCAAATTACTGTTTTCGTCCATAACTTGTCTGGTTATTAACCATAACTTGACAAGTTATTGTCCATAACTTATCTGGTTATGAACCCTAACTTGCCAAGTTTATCCATAACTTATCTAGTTATGAATCATAACGCTGATCTTTGAATAGGAAAAAGAGTGGATCTTTGGCGGCTCGACAAAGACTGAAGATAGAGTTTCACAAGTAAATCAGCCTTATCATCTTTTCATCTTATCATTTTTCATTCAATTAGCTTGAAAACAGACTCTCTCTAAGGAACCTAGGGGCGCGAGACAACTCTCTCTAAGGAACTCGGCAAAATAGCCCCGTAACTTTGGGAGAAGGGGTGCCTCCTCACAAAGGGGGTCGCAGTGACCAGGCCCGGGCGACTGTTTACCAAAAACACAGGTCTCCACAAAGTCGTAAGACCATGTATGGGGGCTGACGCCTGCCCAGTGCCGGAAGGTCAAGGAAGTTGGTGATTATGAACCATAACTTGACAAGTTATGGCCTATTAATTTCTATAACTAAAAATTGACCTATATACTTTCTTAAGCTTTTCATATTGGCCTATTTCCTACTATTTCCCTTTATTTAATACATTTAAAAAATAAAGAAACGTTTTCAACATGAATTGCTATTTTTAAGTCGATGTGAAATGTGACGCTATTTACCTATTGAGAAATTGCATTAGCTAATATGGCTGCTTTCCTCATATTAAACGATTCCGAAATTCTATAATAAATATTGGTTTTGCACAAATTAAATGATCAATGCATAAGCTATTTAATTATCGTGAATAATAATATAGATCTTACAATTAAAAAAACAGTTGACTCTCTTAAAAAAACTTTTAATTGAACTATTTATGTTAATTAGTTTTTTTTTAAAATGGAATATGAAATGTTTACGGGTGGAAAATCGTTCCGGGGTAGGAATTAAGGAAATTGAGGCGAATACACTATTTTAGAATATTGGTACGTGAAATATTCCCTGAAAATTTTATATAAAGACCATAGATAAATATTTTGGCATGAT